AGCCATAAGAAGAAACGAAACTGAGTTATTTGTAGTGAGGTGGATGGACCTAGAGTCTGTCATACAGAGTGAAGTGAGTCAGAAAGAGAAAGACAAATATCGTATGCTAACACATATATATAGAATCTAAAAAGAAAATGGTCATGAAGAACCTAGGGACAAGACGGGAATAAAGACACAGACCTACTAGAGAATGGACTTGAGGATACGGAGAGGGGGAAGGGTCAGCTGGGACAAAGTGAGAGAGTGGCATGGACATATATACACTACCAAATGTAAAATAGCTAGCTAGTGGGAAGCAGCTGCCTAGCACAGGGAGATCAGCTCGGTGCTTTGTGACCACCTAGAGGGGTGGGATAGGGAGGGTGGGAGGGAGACGCAAGAGGGAGGGGATATGGGGATATATGTATATGTATAGCTGATTCACTTTGTTATACAGCAGCAACTAACACACCATTGTGAAGCAATTATACTCCCATATAGATGTTGAAAAAAAAGATTACATCATTCACTGTTTGTCTTCTTTAACAGATAATTCAGAACGTAATATAACCTTCCTTTGTGACTCAGAATGGCCATTATGACCATCTGCTTTTGCCCTGGACCTTTGAGGCATGTAGGAATATGTCTTTCCCTATTAAATGGGTCCCAGATTTCTGTGCTTTTGAAATTATATCTCGTTTAGTTTCCAGCTTTACTCTTTTTGGTGTCAGAGGCTGAGATCAGCGTATTCTAGGTTCTTCTAATGTACAGGTGTCTGACCAAGGACTAACCCCATACACCTCCTGTGAAGTTCATGGATTTTATGTTGGCAATTTGACATGCTGTTTAGGTGTTTTTTTCTTTTCTAGGTTTGTGGTTATATTATGGCAGAGGTTATGAGAAATCTGATCTCCAGAGAAGTGTCGGTGCTTCTTTAATATAATATAGCTATTTGGGGCTAGTTTTCTAGCATTGAAGGATTTAATGAATAAGTTTGTATTTACCTTATCCACACTCTTTTTAATGGTAGAGACCTGCCCTGTCCAATACAAGTAGCCACTAGGTACATGAAGCTTTTACAATTTAAATAGAAATTAATTGAGTAAATCAGTAGTACTAGCCACATTTCAAGTTCTCAGTAGTCACGTGTGGCTAGTGGCCACCGTACTGGAGAATGCAGGTGCACAACATTCCCATCATCACAGAAAGTTCTATTTTTCAGCAGTGGTCTAGACTTCAAATCAGCCTCCTCTCAGGTTTCCCCTTTCCAGATTGAAGTCGCATGTTTTCAGCATGTCCTTGTGCAGTAGCCATGTTCCTACTACTCTGCGATACCCCCTGGCCTCCTACCCTGATCATGTCGCTTGCCCTCTGTCAGTGTATTAGTTCCTGTTGCTGCCGTAACAAATTACCACAAACTTCATGGCTTAATACAACACAAATTTAGTATCTTACAGTTGTGGAGATCAGAAGTTTAAAATAAGCCATTTTGGGACTTCCCTGGTGGCGCAGTGGTTAAGAATCCGCCTGCCAGTGCAGGGGACACAGGTTCGAGCCCTGGTCCAGGAAGATCCCACATGCCGCGGAGCAACTAAGGCCGCGCACCACAACTACTGAGCTTGCGCTCTAGAGCCCACGAGCCACAACTACTGAAGCCCGCACACATGGAGCCCGCGTTCCGCAACAAGAGAAGCCACCGCAGTGAGAAGCCCGCGCACCGCAGCAAAGAGTAGGCCCTGCTCAAGGCAATTGGAGAAAGCCCGCGCACAGCAACAAAAACCCAAGGCAGCCATAAATAAATAAATAAATTTATCTTAAAAAAATCAGCCGTATTTTAGCTTCCAGAAGCCACCTGCATTCCTTGGCTCCTGGCCCCTTCCTCCATCTTCAAAGCCAGCACGTAGCATCTTCAAACCTCTCTCTCACTGTCTGACCTCTGCTTCACATTGCCTTCTCTAACTCTGACCCTCCTGTCTGTCTCTTATATGGACTCTGTAATTAGAATAGGCCCACCTGGATAATGTCCCCCTCTTAAATCCTTAACTTAATCACACCTGCAAAGTCCCTTTTACCATGTAAGGTAACATTTCCACAGATCCCAGGGGTTAGGATGTGGACGTCTTTGGGGAATCATGATTCAGCCTACCATAACAGGCAGTGTTCTCCAGTGGCATCTTGTTTTCCTTGAGGACCAGTGCTGCACAGAGTATGCCACACACTGATACGCCAAGGTTTTATGCAAAGGAAGGAGAATATTTTAAAATCTTATTTTCTGCCTCCATCCTGTCTGGAAATACCAAACTTTGGTTGTTCTGACTCCTCAAAATATGACCCTGTGAGTACAGTGGCAAAGGAGTATCTTGTAGGCAAGGCAGATCCACAGCTGACTCAGCGTCCTATCAAGAGTGTTTTCCCCACTGTAACACAATTGCTCCTTCAGGGCTGATCTCTGCCAGCCTTCCTTAAAAACAAACAACACACACACATACACACAAACAAACCCCCCCAAACTGGGAGCCTGTTATATTAACCAAAGCAAAGCCTCCTGAGCTTCTCTTTGCCAAGGAAAGGGTGGCAGATGAAAGCCTGAGTCATTCCCAGGAGAAGCAGCAGCAGAAGCCAGTGCAAAATTGGTCTCCTACTTCCAGTCTGGACAAGATGGCATAGACTCATTTCTCCTTGCTCCTCGCAGCTAAGTATAATTGTGAATCCTAGAAATAATTCAAGAGGCAACCAAAGGAGAATTCTAGAAGATGTAAAGAGGACGGCAGAATGGTTAGGAATTCCAGGACTGGAGGAACGCTATGGTAGCCTTATGACTTACTACCCAACAGAAGAAGGCGACCCAGGCCCAGCATTTCCCAGCTGCCAACCTAGCAACAGTGGCTCAGATAGGCTCCTTCTCCCTCTGGTTTGAATGGGAGTCCTGCTGACAACACCAAGTGAGCATGGCAACTCCAGCAAAGGGAGTCTAACAGGGAGCCCCACTGACAAGAAGCAGCCAGGGAATGTGCTTTCCTTTCCCACCAGGCCAGAGACTCCCCCACCCCACCAAAAGATACTGTGCAACCAGGGCACCATCAAGAGGAAATCCCACTACAACAAGTAGTCTGGCTCAGGAAGCCTTTATCCCCATGGTCTTAAGGATCCCCTCTCCCCAAAAGAGATACCAGGAGGGCATACAGCACTGGCAAGTGTGTGTGTGAGGTTCCACCAGAGTAAGCAAAGCCAGGGAAGATTTGTTGTTTCCACAGACTAGAGACTCACTTCCTCCACCTAGAGAAATCCAGGCAACGCAGCCTGGTAAAGCACCTTCTGCTCCCTCAGGCAACACCAGCAGGGACCAGTGAGGGCCCCATCAGCACCACGTTAACCAGTCAGACCAAAACTGCACCACAGAGGCTCTGAAAACTAAATCGTCACTGAAATCACAGCCCACAAAAGTAGGCTAGGACTTGTGTGTTAAACCTAAACATTGACTGCCTGCTAAAATAAAAGATTTCAATAGTCTCCTAACATAGTAGCCGAAAAGTCCAGAATACAATGAAAAATCACCCATCGTACCAAGAACCGGAAAATCACAACTTGAATGAGAAGAGACAATCAACTGACATTAGTAATGAGATGAATCCGTTGTTAGAATTATCTGACAAGGATTTTAATGCAGCATCACAAAAATGCTTCAGTAAGCAATTGCAACATCTCTTGAAACAAATGAAAAAGAAAATCTGAGCAAAGGAAAAACAAGTTATACAGAAGAACCAAACAGAAATTATAGAACTGAAGAATACAATAATAGAAATTCAAAACTTGCTATATAGGCTCAGTAGTATAGTGGAGATGACAGATGATAGAATCAGTGAGCTTGAGGATAAACCAATAGAACTTACTCAATCTGAGCAGCAGAGAGAAAATAGCCTGGAAAAAAATAGAGCCTCAGAAACCTGTGGGAAATAACAAAAGATCCAGCATTCATACCAGAGTCCCAGAAAGATAGCAA